GCTCATGGATTCCAAAGTAGGATCTATTTTTCCAAAAATCATCTTTGCTTTTCCAGGGTCAGTCCACAAAAATCTATGAACACACACTCTGTACCAAGAGGGCCCTCGGATAATATTTTTGGATAATGTCAATACACAGAAACAGACATATATCTGAGATCCATTGGGGGTTAGGGGGAGGCAAAATACAACTCTGGGAGCTACAGAAATAAACACTGTATTACAAAGTTTCAAGGAATAAAGAGTTAAAAAAAAAAAACTACCATCAGCAGGGTGTTATCTGATGGTTGGCTTTTCTACAAGGCTTCTGACATTCCTGATTTAGTTTCGTTTCAAAACAGTTTTTGGAAGTTTGGGTTGATAATTTTTTTTAAGAGAGCCACTTGCCTCTGTGTGTCCTCTCCACCTCCCTTAAACTCCGGCCCAGAATCTTTCCAGCAGGAAGGAACTCTGTGTCTCTGAACAAGTCTGTACATGCCACTCAGAGGCCGATCAACCCTCCTCTTAAGGAAAACAGGCAGTTCTACAAAGTTCATTGTGCCCCAGTGAATGTCTTTACCTCTAATTAAGAGCAAGAGTCACTACCCTGACAAGGTAACATTTGCAGAAACCAGCCCCCCCCCACCCCAAAGTTTAAGTGCCTGCTCCAAAATGTTACACTGATGATTTTTTAAAGCTACACAATTTACCTGGCACTTTTACTGCGGAGCAATCGAAAGCAATTTCAGCACTTTCACAAATCCCAAGGCTCCTTCTTACCCAGCGGGCAAACAGTGGCCCCATGTAAAGGATCACACCAAAGCTTGCAGACAGGGAGTGAGTTGATCAAGGAAATAAGCCTAAGTACTCATTCCAACACTCTTCTCTCTGCTGCCCTGCCCTGCCCTGCCCAGGCCTGGCCTTCCCCTCCTCTCTCCTGGACCACTGATCCAGGCCAACCATCTCACCTTCTCCTCCTTCAAACCTGAGCAAGCCTCCTACTCTCAGAGACCCCCAAACTTCCAGGGGATCCTTGATGTCAAGGAACTAGGGGCATTCTCAGCACCAACAGGAATAAACCCTCCTCCAGATGCCCACCACCCCCGAGCCCTCCTGCCACTCCCAGAGGGTCACCTTTGGCCACACACACCCCACTTTCAATAAAAGAGGGGGACGGCATTTGCACAGTGCCTAACAGGTGGCCACCTCTCAGGTTAACTCTACTCATCACCTTCAGGCCTGGAGGAGCCTCCTCCTCCTCAGCCTTCAAGGCCTCCAGCCCAGAAGGACAGAATCAAAGTCAAGATGCTCATCCTCCCTCCAGTGAGGAAGCCCTGGCTCCAGGCAAGGGGGCTGCTGGATTCTCGGCTCCCTAACCCCCCCTCACCCCACCCCCGCCCCCCAGGCCTCTCCAGTGCAGGATTCTCCTGTCTGTATCCAAGACATTTTGGACCACTGGCCACTGAATGCTCACAAAAAGCAAAATAAGAGTAGCTGCCCCAAGAAAAGAAACAAAACCGGCCAAATTTAAAAATAACAAACTCCAATGATACAAAAATGAACTTCGATCTATCAGTCCTGGTTTGGATTCTTCCCATTATCATTGCCCCCTTTTGATGACAATAATTAAAATTCACTACATCTACTACATGCACTACTTGACACACACAGGAACATTTTACAGACACTTCTTTTACACATGTATGGTACTCCAAATAAAACCCTGCAAACAGAAATTCACAATGTTTTTCACTTTTTAATTTATGAGTATCCTTCCCTATGATCACTCAAAAACCTAAAGCAAAAACTAAGTTTCTCTAAATAGAATACAGCCTGTGTCTCACATCCTTTTATTAAAAATAAAGTTATGTACTGTTCAACTATACCGTTTTAGTCAGGAATGGAGCAAATTCTAAACTCTCCCCAAGAAAGCCATTTTCATAGAGCATATCAAAACTCAGCAAACTCCCTCTCTCAACTCATCCACCTCATGTAAACACAATCTTCTAAAAATAAGCAACCACTAATCACTAAAAAAGTTCACAGAAAAAAATAAAAAACAGAAAATCTAACAATGAAATAAACTAGGACTACAGGTTGCTCAGCTTACACATGTTTCACCTACAATTGTTCTTTTAATTTCCAAACTCTGACACTAGTCACACTGATGGATGTTCAGGAAGAGCAAACAAATGCTAGAGTGTCAATAATCTAATCACAAAACCACTGTATGCAAATCATGCCAACAGAAACCCTAAACACACTTCTGGGCATGATGAAAATGGTTCTAGGAAAAAAAAAAGAAAGAAAGAAAATGGTTCTAGAAATAACAACAAAGGGAGGGAAAAAAATGGAGATGTTAGCGGTTTCTGCTCTTTCCACCAGAGACTCAACTTCCCAGGGTCAGTTCAAAACTATGAAAGACTTTATCATGAGAGTAAGAAAACATATATAAGACGATCAGGAAAATTTAGCATGGAACATCTGAAACAAACTTATGGTTACGAAAGCAGGGATGGGGGATAAATTAGGAGTTTGGGGTTAACACATACTCACTACTATACATAAAACAGCTAATGAGGACCTACTACATAGCACAGGTAACTCAATAGTCTGTAATAATCTACGAGGGAAAAGAATCTGGAAAAGAATATTTACATACATACACATATACATATAACGGAATCATTTTTCTGTACATCTGAAATTAACACAACACTGCGAATCAACTAGACTTCAATTTAAAAAAGAAAAACTGAACATTTGCTAGGAAGGAATTCAGTTTTTTTGGTGTGAGAGCAGCATGGAGACTACCTAAAAAAAAAAAAAAGAAAGACACCAACTGAAGTATTTATGGGGAAATGGCATCTGAGTTTTATGTGAAGATAATGGAGGTGGGAGAAGGACAGCAGAAAAAACCAGATTAGTCATGTGCTGGTCACCGTGAAGCCGGTGCTGTCCTCTTCCTCGCCAGTGTCTGTTTCAAATTCTCCGTAATAATAAAACAACTGCAGGCAAGCAAAAGCTCCCCTGTTCCTGCTTCAGACTGCAGGCCATTGTTGCACAGATTTCCTATAGTTTCCTCGGCTTTGCATAATTTCAGAATTCCTTCTCAATTGTATTGACTTTGTAAGGAGAGAGCCAGAGAGCCTGTTACTGCCCCGATCCCAATGGCTTTCCAAACCTGGTGCTTAGCAAATCGATCCCAAAAGCTTTCGGGAAGAGAGTATGGAACCAGAGGGAAGGAGCAGGGGAAACCTTGGGAGTGAACCTGACCCAGCTGCTCCCACTAAGAACCCCCAGCTCCTAAACCCATGAAGACACATTCAGGGTTCACTCTTTTTCTCTTACAGTTTAAAAACAAAAATGACAGCTTCTGGTCTACTTCCACCAGCCTTCACATTCATGCTGACCCTTGAAGACCCAAACAATCCAACTTCTGTGTAACCAGGTCAAAAACAAGCCCTGGCTAACTCACTTGGACGAGGACGGTCACCACTCGGATCTGGCCAGAAAAACTCAGTTAGGAAGAACCAACCAGTGCTTAAACAAACACTGAGGCTGGGGAGAACGGTCTTGGAACCAGTTAGCAGACCACTCAGGGAGTTGCAACATGACCGTTTCCAAAATTTTCCAAAAGCTTCCAAATTCAGTTGAGCCCGGCAGGCCGAGCTTAACAGGGCTCTCTTTCAAATTCAAAAACCTGGCCCTGGCCCCAACTGTTAGCCAACAGAACACATGCTGATTCACTTGAGATCACCTAAAAAGACGGACTCCATCCAGTTCAGACCACAAGCCAGTACATGGCTGGGGAAAGTTGGAGCTGTGTATAGATAAACCCTATTCACAGAGCAGAAAAAGGGACAATGGGATCCACACTTAATCTGGCCGAAGAAAATGTCTACAGTCAGCTTCCAACCCCCCCCTCTCCTCCACTTCTCACCAGACAATGACAATTCTTCACAGCGAACCACAAAGCCCTGCTTCATAAGATTTTTTTTCTTCTTCTATCCCAGTCCAACTAGAAAACAGGGAACAGCTATGGACACCCCTGGTGTAGTGCAGATAACTTGGAGAGAGCCTTCAGTAATAAGAAACAAATCAGAACACGGAGAATTTCACATTCTGTTGCAAAACATTCAAGGCCCAGTGCCTCCATTAGCCAGAGTTCTCTGTAATCGCCACAATGTGCACTGAATCAGACCAGCAACACGCTTAGTCTCATCAGGTGTCTGTTACTTGGGGCCGGGCCGAGTCACTCTCCGAATCTGTTAGTTTCAAGGGATGGGGGGCGGGGGGAGCGTGTTAAAAGAAAGAGAAAAAGACCTGGGGTAGGTGTGAAATCTGGGCACCCTCGCCACTCCTGGGCTCTGTCTCATTTCTGGTTCAATTACACACCTGTCAAACAGGTTATTCCTGGAATTCAGACTGTATAATCCTCACCCTGTAATTCTTCCTGCTCCTGCTACCCAAACACACAGCCCTCCCCTGATTCCCCAAATATGCGCCCATCGGTAGAACGTATGCGGGTACCAGGTATCAGCAAACTCCGCTCCCTGGACTCCCGGCAAGCATTCAAACGAGGCAACACGAAGACAATTCTCAAGGAGGCCAAGGCAGTGCTTTGGGATAATCACAGGCAAGGCCTGCCTATTCTGAATTTTAATGAACACACCAACTCCGAAGGCCAGATCTGGGAAAAACGCGGCGGGGTGGGGGGGACACATGTAGGCTGTCTGATGCAAAAAAAAAAAAAAAAAAAAAAACGCTTTCCCATTTTATGGAAGTGCATGTCCTAGAGTGGAGCGTTATTTCCTTATCTGAGAGCCAGGAAATGAGGTCTTTTCAGGCCAGTGTGAATATAAACTCTGCTAAAAAACAGCAGGACGGCGAGGCGAGCCCCTTCTCCCAACTTCAGCCGCGCGGCGTGGCCTCCGGGCGGCGGCGTGTCCATCCCCCGGCGCCCCCGGACCAGAAGTTTCAACCCGTCCCCGGGAAACAAAGGAGGCGCCCGTACCGACCTTATAGACTTGTCCGTAGGTGCCATTTCCCACCACTTCCACCAGCTCGAAAATCCCCGCCGGATCCTGGAGGAGAAAGAGGGGAGGGGTGAGCGTCGGAAAGCAGCACAACAATGAATAAAGAAGCAGGGCAGCCGGAGAGAAAGGGCGGCGACCCCAGCGGTGGGCTTCGCGCGGTGGGGTCGCCGGAGCCCGAGGGCTGCGATCCGAGGACCGGGGGTCCCGGGCGGCGGCGGCGCCGGCGAAGGGTCGCGCCCCGGGGGCCCCCGCACCCGTCGACGCGGGCAGACAAAGGCGCCGCCGTGCCCGCGGTTCTTCCCGCGGCGGCGCCCGAGCGCCCGGGCAGCCAGGGCGCGGCCCCGGGTCCCCGCGCGCCCCGCGCCCCGCGCCTGGGTGTTCCCGGACTGCCACTCACCCGCAGGGAGGACAGGTCGATGTCCACCAGACTTTTGGCAGGGGAGTCGTTCGCCATCTTCCCTTTCTGCCTCCGCGGATCGGCCACGATCAGTAGGTCTCCGGCTTGTTTCTGGGCGTCGGAGGCCCGGCGGGCGGCGCGGGCCCGCGGGCGAGGCCGGGGGCGGCGGGCGGGGCGAGCGCGGGCGGGTGGCGGCGGCGCTCACTCCATGGCCGGGGCGGCCGGCAGGCCCCCGGGCGTCGCCCGCGCCTCAGGCCCCGGCCCCGCGCCCCGCGCGCGCCTGCACTAGCGGCCCGGAGCAGGGGCCGCGGCGGCGCCGAGTGTGGAGCCCGGAGCGCGAGGCCGCCAGACAAAGATGAGCGGGGGGCGGGGGCGGCGGCGGCGCGGGAGGAGGAGACACGGGACACCGAAATCGTACTCGGAGGAGAGCGAACAGCTCCCCCTTTCCTCCTCTGGCAGGAAAAGCGGGCGGAAGCGCGCTCGCGCCCGGAGGCGGCAGGGCGGGGGGCGCGGGCAGCCGCGCGAATCTCCAGCAGGGCTGGGGCCCGGGCGGCGACCGCGCGCGGGACCGGAGGGGGGCGCACCCGGGACAAAGGGAAGCCGGCCGGGACCCCCCACCTCCCTGCCTCGGGCGGAGAGGCGGGCCGACCCCCGCCCCCGCGGAGCCCCGCCCCACCGCGCCCCGCCCCGCCGGGATCCCCGAGCGGGAGGGTCCTCCGGCGCCCGCGCCCCCCTCTCCTCCTATCGCATCCCCCACCGCCGAGTCTGGCCCCTGAAGACCCTCGTTTCCGGTTTCCCTACCGGCTTCTCTGGTCCTTTCTCTTCTTTTCCAGGCTGAACCGGTGACCTGGTTGTAGTTGGGGATTCGCCGAGCATCACTCGGCCGACGGGTCCCGAGACTTTGGGCGGAAACTGAGTCCGAACCGCTCCTTTCACTGCCTTGTGCTGAGTTCCTCACTCTGGACGAGGAGTGGACCAGGAGTCTTAACCCAAGTTCTGTGCCTCGATATCGCTGAGGAGCCATGGACAGGACTTCTTCCGGCAACTTTGGAAGCCAGTCAGCAGTTAGACAGTTTCATCCTGTTGAACGTGAATAAATGGTCTGCAAACAGTCATTGTATCACTGTCACTCCACTGGCCAAACACCCTGATGGCTCCGTATTCCCTCACATAGTGTCTCAAACGTGAAGGTCCAAGAATCACCGAGAGGGCTTGCAAAAGCGCGGATTGCCGACCCCACCTCCAGAGTTTGATCTGGGGTGTGGGGTAGGCCTGAGAAGCCTCATTCTCTGTACAGGCGGCGATGCTGAGTTGCTGTGATGGGAAGTTTGAGAACTGGGGCCTCACAGAATGAAACTCCAAGGCCCTTTGTGATTGGGCTTCACCGGCATCATTATCTACCAATTCTTAGTTTGCACACAGTGTCTACTGAACCCCTCCAATGGCCCTAGGGTGTGATAACCGCATTTTGGGGCTGAGGAAGCTGAAAGAGGAGCCGATGGTCAGTCTCTCAGTCAGGTCCAAGAGACTCTTTGTGACCCCCATGGACTGCATCGTTCCAGGCTTCCCTCTCCTCCATTGTCTCCCAGAGTTTGCTCAAACTCATGTCCATTGAGTAGGGATGCCATCCAACCATCTCATCCTCTGTCACCCCTTCTCCTCCCGCCCTCAGTCTTTCCCAGCATTAGGGTCAGCTGATCATCAGAGTCAGCTGTTCACATCCAGTGGAGTGGCCAAAGTATTGAAGAGAAGGGATTTTCCTAAAGTCTTTAAAGGCATAGCCCATAAGTGGAGCAGGGACTCCCACCAGCCTGTTCCCAAACCAAGTGCCTCAGCCAAGTTAGTCTTGTATCAGAACAATGTTTCCCACTCCTCCGTCTCCCAAAACTCCAAGATTCTCAACTCTGAGAGTCTCTCATAAGGCTAAAATATATTCAGGGACTCCTGGAATCCATTGATCAGGAAAATCATAGTAAGCAAAGTGTTTCTATGAATTTAATGGTGCCTTTTTTGAAGGAGGGAGGGGGGCATGGCACTGCGCTGCACGACCTGTGGGATCTTAGTTCCCCAACCAGAGATTGAACCCAGGCCATGTCAGTGAAAGCACCTTGTCCTAACCACTGGACTGCCAGGGAATTCTTAGTGGTGCTTTTAAATAATTTTGTTTTTTAATCTACCAACAGCAGGGGACTTATCTATGAGTATAAAGTAATTTACTCAGAGAGTTAGACTGGTATCAGTGTGAACTTTCAGATTGTAGTATTCGTAATAGTATTTTAGTAGTATTTATTATTAATAATAGGTAACATGTTTGGGGTCCAAACAATGTACTAAATCCTTTACATATGCTATCCTCCTTATTTTTCACATTAACCCAAAATGGTAGGTACTCTTACTTTTCTTACTTTACACATTAGGAGAGCAGCCTCAAACCTTTTGGGAACCAGGACCCGACTTCGTGGAAGACAATTTTTTTATGGATGGGGGATGGGGGAGATGATTGGGGGATAATTCAAATGCATTACTTTTCTTATGCACTTTATTTCTATTATTGTTACGTCAGCTCCACCTCAGATCATCAACATCAGATCCCAGAGGTTGGGGATCCCTGCATTAGGAAACCAACATCTAAAGAAATTAATTGACCTGCTCGGTGTTCACAGGTGTCCACAGCTGAACCCAATGCAGAAACTCCAGGGTCCACCAAGTCAGCCTCCTTTCACAGATTCACTGTTGTTGTGTTGGTCACTCAGTTGTGTCCGACTCTTCATGACGCCATGGACTGCAGCCCGCCAGGCCCCTCTGTCCATGGGACTCTCCAGGCAGAGTACTAGAGTGAGTAGCCAGTTCCTTCTCCAGGGGATCTTCCCGACCCAGGGATGGAACCTGTGTGCCCTGAATTGGCAGGCAGATTCTGTACCACCTGAGCCACCAGGCAAGCCCACAAGTTCACCGTCTGCCTCAGCTGCAACTTCATGACACCGAGGCCACCCCAGGCCACCCCCTTCTTTGCCCAGCCAAACTCTCTTCATCACCTCCAGTTCAATCCAGAAACTGACTCCTCTTTCTACCAGCTTTTTCTAAATCTCCTAAGCTACTCTTCCCTGTATCAGCATTGTGATGACTGTCTCTTATTTCAATTCAGTACCTTTTCTTAAGTCCCTCCCCAGGGCAAGGGCTTAGCCAGCACCCAGGGTATAAGGGCGATCAAGACAAGCTACCTTCCAAGAGCTTACCATCTGCTAATGGGTGTAGGACAGTTTCATAAATCACTCCAGTTAAAGGCAGAACATTAAAAAGCCTAGAGATATAGAAAGAGCACTAAACAAGTTAGCAGCAAGTATACTGGACTAGGGGCAAAACTGAACTGAGTTTGAACCTAGTTCTATCATTTATCAGTTATGCAAGCTGGCATGTGTTACTTCTGAGCCTCTGCCATTTCCTCTTCTGTGTGCTAGATAATGATGGCAGTGAGGACTGTTAAGAGGACATCTCAAGAGCACAGGACAGGGTAATAAGGCCTGGGAAAAGGAGATACAAGAGGTGTCGGGCCAGACATTCTGAAGACTGGACATCTAATGGAATACCAGAGGCAGCGTAGACAAAGAGGTAAAAGATTTGCTTGTGGTTCAGAACCTGGTTCACACTTGGGAAGGGCTTCCCCAGTGGTTCTAGTGGTAAAGAACCCACCTGCCAATGTGGGAGACATAAGAGAGACAGATTCGATTCCTGGGTCGAGAAGACCCCTGGAGAAGGAAATGGCAATCCCACTGCAGTCTTCTTGCCTGGAGAATCCCTTGGACAGAGGAACCAGTTGGGCTACGGTCCACGGGGTCGCAAAGAGTCGGACATGACTGAAGCAACTTAGCACAGCACAGATCCTTGTTCTCACTTGGGAAGAGGTTGTCACAAACAGGCAACGATGGGAGTTCCTGAATGAGGGAAGCAAAGGAAGGTTTGGTTTGGGGCTCTGCAAAGTTAGTTAGCTTTTCATGCAGAAGCAGCTCTGAGGCTGGGGACCACATTCTCAATCAACAGTTGTGTATTAATAAGTTCAGACCGCCATAATGGAATACCATACATTGGGTGGCTTAAGTAAAAGGGATTTCTTTTCTTATAGTTCTGGAGGCTGGAGGTCCACGATCAAGGTTCCAGCTGATTTGGTTCCGGGATAGGGCTCTCTTCCTAGCCTGTAGATAGCTGCCTTCCCACTCTGTCCGGAAATGGGCTTTCCTTGGCGCTACCGTCACAGAAACAACAAGCTCTCTGGTGCCTCTTCTTATAAAGACACCCATCCTGTCAGATCAGGGCCTCACCCTTATGACCTTATGAATTTACCCTTAATTAGTTCTGTGAAAGCCCCATCACCTAATACAGCTACACTGGAAATAGGGTTTCAGCATGGGAAGGGGGTGGGGGACACATATTTGGTCCCTAACAAGCTACATGTGATGCCAGAAAGCAGATCAAAGTCAGGGCTTTGTCCTCCAGCATCTGTTTGAGAACACAAACAAACCCACCCAAAAGACGATCAAGATAAGAATGTGGAAAATAAATACTAATTTGGCATTTTAGGTTGGAGGAAAAAACAGCTTGCTTGGACAAAGAATGAGAAGTTGAAAGAATGAGGAAACTGGCTACTCTGAGCTAGGGGGACTCAGTTCTGAGAAAGCCAGGTGGGAACAGGGGACAAAACCAAGGCCTTGTCTGACCTGAGATTATCAATCAAGTCAAGGGAAAAACAGCTGAGCATTGGCTTTGAGGAGTTCAGGTGGCAGGTGAGATGCTCTTGAGTTCAGCAGGCCATGGATGCACATTTGCGTCTTCTCAGGGTACAGTGGACCAAACTAGCAATAATCTGCCTCCAGTCACAGAAATTCCAAGGGGAGCTTAATTATGGAAGCAGTCTATACAGACAGTCCCTTGGACATCCACTTTACTTATTTCCTAGTTTTTCTTAGTTGCAAAAATATTGGTAGCAATTGATTTTCAACCTCAGAATGGGGCAGGGAAAGGGGGTGCTGCAGAGCCATGAAACTGAACTACATAAATGTAAT